TTTAAATTTTTTTTTACACTCCGCACTCCGCACTCCGCACTCCGCACTCCGCACTCCGCACTCCGCACTCCGCACTCCGCACTCCGCACTCCGCACTCCGCACTCCACACTCCACACTCCACATTTTCGGAATAGCCCTATTCGATGACAAGATTGACATGAGGGACAGCATCCAACACTTTTATTGGTGCAAACATGCCCCGATGCTGTAATTTGATTGGCGCGAGATACATATCCAAATGCGGCGATCTGATTAGCGTGAGCAAAATACCACACGCTACCGTAGAGTTTATTTCTCTTCAAATAAAAAAATATAATAATAACTCAAAAAAGATAAAAGCCGATCAGTAACTATGCGGACCTTCGAGGGAACAGCATCGAATGCTAGTGCCTCGAAATTTACCGATGACAGCGCACCAAAACCCGAACGAACGACTTCGTCCACTGACGAAGATCAGCAGTTTACTGGTCGAAACTTCGTGATCAAAACAACGGATACATTAACCTGACTCTTGCATCGAGAGATAACCGTTCATTTATATATTTAGCCGCGATGAACAATATCATTTTCTGTTAAAATAAAAAGAAGAAAACAAACTTTATTTTCTTCCTGTGAGAATGAGCAACATTTTTGTACAACGACTCGCTTTAATTTGAAAATAGGCCAACATAAGAAAATTCAGAAATGGGCTGTTGCGGACATAAGCAAAAGGTAGATGTGTAACTCGATGATTTCTCCCAGCATATCTTTATTAAATCCTAGGACCTGAGTTAGCGTTAACGGCGAAGAGTCGATAGAACGATAACCAGGAATAACGAAACAATAAAAATCACCCTGTATACTTCATCTTTGAAAATGTGGACACAATTCGGTACAAGATCACTAAAAGTTAGCAATGAAAGTTGAAGTCTGTCCTCTCAGTAACGTGTTACTTCAGTTTTAACGGCGCTGTACGCTGCTACAGTGATGGGGAAGATTCTAACGAAACTGTGGTGCTACTTCGGTGGAGGTTACAAATGAAGATAATTTGTTTTTAGCAACTGAGTTAATAGAAACAAGTATAATATAAACTTGCCTCTACAAAGAGTCTAAAGATGATCTTCGAGCTTGCGTCCTTCGCCCTTTCGGCTTACGCTCGAAACTTCTTCTTTAGAAACTCGTTAACTTATCAACTCAGTTGACGAAAGAAAATAATTTGTTTCCGGAGCTTTTGTCAGGGCCTTGAACGTGTTTTAAGGCATAGAACAATAGTTTCAAGAACATATGTTGACGAAACATAACACTGCGCGCGGAATGAGGAAAGTTTTAAGTCCGTCTAAATCCTACCGAAAAGTCCACCATCCCTGAGTTTTGTGGTCGCTTTGCGCGTCCTTGTTCATCCCTATGATACAAACTGTCTTGACCTGTTTTCCAGTTTCATAAATGTTATCACTGAGACGCTTTCAGACTTTTTATTATTATGATAATGAATTTTCAACGTAATAAATTCTTTGGTCGTTCTAGCGACGTCATTCGTTATGCACGACGTCATCCAGATATTGTACGTGAGTAGCGCGAACAGCGTTCAAATATTGCACAGTGATTGAGAGTTTCGTCGATTATTCTAAAACATAAATCAGTCCCATTTAGAAACTTAATAAGCCGTTATATGATGGCCCATTTAGAAAGAGATCCCGATACACAAGGGGAGAGAGTGCATTCAGAGTGAAGTCGTCAGCTTGGTATTTTTAAAGATGGATCAAATCGCAGCACTACTAATGTGTATCAAAATACTATCTCTTGCTGCGGGTAAGTGTTGTAAAAAATCGAATTGCGTGACTTTTGAAGTTACTTTCTCTGTATGGCGAGGCTACTGCTGAAATACCCTGACGCCAAGGGTTAGAGTTGAAAGTTTGTGTTACGTTTATTAATTAATCGGAAACTGACATGAATCTCGCTTACTATACACTGATATTGCGAATCGCTTGTGAAGGATTTTGTTGAGTTGAATATTTAACAAGGAATTGTTCTATGCGCGAGGGACAGTCTTAGCAACGAGTAAACTACAGTTTAAAATTTTCTTTTTCAGTAATGACAACCGGATCTAGATCGAAACGTTTCCATATTATTACCAGAAAAGACCTTCAATGTTTGATAGCTTTGCGTGTCTCAGATAATTTGCGTATGATAAATACTGCTAACTTAAATTTCACACCGTTGTCAGGAAGAGTGCTGTTTCGCAATAAATTATTGGATTATTTCACCGTCGAGTCGATCACCACCAAAATCTCACTTACTCGCCGCTACAACGTGAAAGTGTGTTTAGAAAAGTTAGAAAGTCAATTACAATCATGAATTGATCAACAAATTCTGGGTCAGAGCATCTCTAAGTGGAAATTTACTTGCTATGGAGCATCAAAACAAACGTGTTCACAAGCGTGGCGCATTATGATTACATTCACGTCTCAATGGAACATAAGTTCACAAAACTTGTTCGATTTTCCCATTCGTCAATTTTGGTCACAAAAATCGATTTGTGGGCGAAAATAATTCTTAGCTAAAATTTTCTGCAGCGGAGTTTGATCCTAAATTTCACCATCCGAACGTTTTATAGAGATGTTAATTGCATGACTGCGCAATATTAAAAACAGGATAACGGCCAAGTAGCTTCAATTTTTCCTTGACACTTCCCATCCCTTGCACTTCTTACACCTAATCTACTCCGCAACGGATTAGAAAAAGTTATTTGAATACCGCTCCAAGACCTGTTCCTATAATTAATTTTAGAACGCTAATGAATACCTTTTCAAGGCGAAGTTTATGTTAATCCCTCTGTAATAGAAAAGAAATTTACCGTTTTTTAAACTGAACGTTAAAGAAGGAAATAAAAAAAAAATTGACTATCTTCTAATTCTTGGCATTCACAGATACGTTGATCTCGAAAATAGTGTTTAAGACTAGATTTTTTCTTTCTAAAACTGTTATTCGTTTTTTGATGTCGGGAATCGTAAACATATAATTAAATTGACATTATCAGGGAGAAAACATCAGTAGGGGTTCAGCCTTTGAAACATTTTCATTACAAATAATTGGTTCTTATAATTTTTTTTATCAGAAGTGGTTGTGCATCTAAACGGGAAGTTTTCAGTTCTGCTGATGGTAGTCTATTCGAAAACCGTTTTGCGATGGTAGATACACTCTCTTCCAAATGCAAGCACTCAATTTGAAAAGCCGGTTGAGTCATTCGTGTATATGTAAATAAAGTCTAGTGAGTGCAAACTGAGAAATAGCAATTACCATAGGTCAGAATAAAGAATTCATTTGTATTTACAGGTTTCAGTTTTAATTCTCAACGAGGGGTCTAATAATAAGAAAACATATTAACAGTTTGTAGAAACAACTACATTTAATTTTTTCGCTGTTCTCATTCAAGAAAAACCCCACCATTAATAGATTACAAACAGTTTGTAACAGGGCCGTAGCTAGCATAAGGCAAGACGAGGCAATTGCCTCGTCTTGATTTTGACTTTTTTTTTTAATTTGTTTTCTTGAAGATTGACTTTTCTGAAGAAAAATGCCACGAAAAATCCTTAAAAGAGCATTTCTGAACTTCTAGATTTCAAAATTTTCTGGGGGGCATGCCCCCAGAAGCCCCTAGCGGCTCGCGCCTTCTGCGCTCGAAAATTGCCTCGTCTTGTCCTGAAGTCTGGCTACAGCCTTGTGTAATCTACTAGTTTTTAATTACAGTTATTGTATTTTCCAGTTTTAATTTTTCCATTATATTGAGGTAGCCAAGTAGACCTCTCACAGCTTTTAGGAAAAGAATGCTCGCATCTTCCAAAGGAAACGCAGTTTTTCTAATTTTCATTCGTTTGAGCCAATGTAATTTTTTTTTTTAATTTTTTATCGGGTTTTCAAAGGTTTGAATCATTCTTAAATTATGTCTCAGTTCGCTTATCTTCATCTCCCGTTCCTTTTCTTTTATTAATGAACGTACTCGCTTTTACTAGGTTGTTCAGGTTCTACGAACTCCTCATTTGAACATCTCATCAGAGCGGACCTCCTCGACAATTACGACATCAAGGTCCGCCCAGTGCTGAGAGGCAAAAAGGAAGTTAAGGTCCAGTTTGCTTTAAGAATCAGCCGACTTGTCAAAGTGGTAAGCAAAGTCTACTTTTGGAAAGTTCCAGCTATACTGCACTCTTTTTTTTTCAGAGTGTTGTTAGATACAATGAATATATGAAGTTCATATATTTTGAACTGCGGTATTAGATATGTATGATGCACGATCCTCGCAGTAGAGAGCGCTATTTATGCAACAGCGAAAAAAAATCAGGCCTGTACGGGATTCGAACCACTGACCTCTGCGATACTAGTGCAGCGCTCTACCAATTGAGCTAACAAGCCAACTGGGAGCAGGTCGTTAAGTTGATTCGTAATAAACCAGCGATGATAAATCAGATACAGTGAATATATGAAGTTCATATATTTTGAACTGCGGTATTAAATACGTATGATGCACGTGCATCATACGTAGAGTGTTGTTAGTTGTGTTTAGTTCGGAATAAAATTCAAGCGATATCAGCGAGTAACTAGATTGTCTATAGATACAAGAGGGCGCTCTACATACGCTAAGGAGACTGGGGAATACTTTGTTTTCTAAAACATCATTATGAGCGGGTTCCCTTTCCTCGCGCTGTTATCTCTATATCACAACAGCCAGCTCTCTCATTTGATATATTAACGTCTCCTTGCTCCAAACAGGATAATCAAGAACAACTACTAATTCTGGACACTTGGGTTATACAGGTAAGCGCATCAACCAAATAATGACCAGTTGCACTGGGCGTTGGGATCAAGGTACATTCCATTGGGTTTTCCTTTCCCGTGGAGGAATCTGATCATATATAATTACTGATGAAATAGTTCCTTTTGACATGCAGATAAACGCACGAGCTTCAATTTAAGCAGTTCCTGGGTTTTTTCTAAGCTTCTTTCCTGCAATTGCTTAATTGCAGCTCAGGATGTTCTACTTTAGCTTGGTGTAACGTTAGCTGTAATTATCTTAATGTATAAAAGCGATAGGATGTACTATGATGTACTTTTCCTCCTTTGCAGAGATGGGACAACGAATTCTTAACTTGGAATAGCAGTGATTATGGAGACGTAGATCGTGTACGTTCATTTTGCTCCTAGTGAAATCTGGGTTCCGGATATAGCCCTGTTTAACAAGTAAGAATATTTATTTTGTTTAAGCGTGTGGCTAGGGTTTTGAATCTCAGTCCCTTTAAAAGGATTGGACAATCATATCCTTGAGAATTTTGTCGAAATTAGTCGATAGAAATGGGAAATAGTGGGAGAAAAGTGACTGACGTATGACTAACATTTTTGTGAATATTCAATCAGTTAGAAATTGAGTTTTAAACAACTACACAAAATCTTATAGCATTCATATATCTTTTATCAAAATATTTCTTATTTATTTAAAGCTGTAACAATTGTGGATGAGTGACCGCTCTGATGGCGGGGGTGGGGTGGGGTGGGGTGGGGATTTGGTCCACTACCCGTAGAGGTCATTTTAACATTTAATGTTTTTCTTTCGTCACAAAAATGTACAAATACGTCCAAAAAATTTTATATATAAAAATAAAAGAAAATATGTCCCAAAAAAAAAAAAAAAACAGAAAAACAAAGAAAATAAGTTAGATGCCAGTTGACTTATAGTAGGGGTAGCTCGCTTACAGTTAACAAATGGTAAACACCACAGCGTACACTATTGAGTTATGGATGCACGCGGGAGGTTGCTAAGCACGAAAGAAGCGTAAGAGTCGCTCGAGGCGATAGCCGAGAGCGACTCTAGCTTCTTGAGTGCTTAGCAAACCTCCCAAGTGCATCCATAACTCAATAGTGTACGCTGTGGTGTTTACCATTTGTTTTATAACATAACATTGATACATTGTAGCTAAAGAGTTCCCTTTTATTTAACAAATCTTACGCGACCAGAAAAAACAAGCGCGCGCGGAAAAATAGTCTTTGCATTTGCTCACGTCAGCAGCGTACACCCATGGGCAAATGGGGGACGCTAAATTGACCAATCAGAGCGCGCGCTTTACTTTGGTTATGTTATAATTGANGAAATTTCGTTTTCGGGTATAAAGATCTCTTCTTAACGTCATTGACGGCCAACTAGATATAATTGAATAAAGGCTGATAGTTTCGAAAGAAACTGTTTGGGGCTGCGTCGGTGGGAGTAACGAAATAATTTGGATATATCAACAAAGTTGAAATGGTAAATTGGCCACCGTAACGCTAGAAACGTCAGCTTTTGTAATCGTTACGGTGGCCAATTTACCATTTCAACTTTGTTGATATATCCAAATTATATAGTTTGGTACAGTTTAGCCTCGTTTTTGTAGTTGGTATGGTTTGGTGTTGTTTGTTTAACTGATGTGGTAGTTGTTATAGCTGGTGTAGTAGGTTTATTTTAGTGTGGCAGGATAATTTGGTTTTATCAACCGAGTTTATAATGTAAACTGGCACTGTAAGGAGTTTCTAAGCTGAAGTTCCGAGCGTAAGTCCTTCGTCAGAGCGAATGATTTTTCAAACGTCAACTTAGTAATTCTTTACGGTACACGTGGCCAATTTATCAACTCAGTTGATAAAACCCCACTTCCTTGTTATACTCCCCCACCGACAAAGAACCACAGTTTCCTTAGAAATTTTCCCTTTTTATTCATTTGTTTTTTTTGTGTAGTTTGGTGTGATTGGTGTAACTGATGTTGTTTGGTGACGAAAACAACACCAAACCACTTCAAAAGACGCTAACCCAGGCGACACTATACGTGCTTCTACTCCGAAAATCGGCACCATTACACCGAATTCGTCAAAGTTCACCAAATCTTCAAAATTTTAAGCAAGTATATGAACGATAACTGTTTTAAGACGATATTTATTTGAATTTTACCCCACAATCTCTTTTTAGATCGTTTCGTCGAGAGTGGAGACTGGGAAATCAAAAACATCACGGCCGAAATATCAACAACTGATCATGGCGACTGCTGCCCGTTTAACTTTAGCGAAGTGGTTTACACCTTAACTATGGAACGAAAGTCACTGTACTACATGTTCTACCTCACTATTCCTTCCGTTTTACTGACGGTCCTCGCACTGAGCAGTTTTCTAATCCACGTTGAGAGCGGAGAACGTATTGGCTTCGTGACAACGGTTCTACTGGCCATGACGGTGTTTCTGCTCGTCATCCCCTCCTTCCTGCCCGTCACTTCGGATGGACTTCCGATCTTGGGTGTCAATCTCCAAGCTTCTATGATAATCATTGCGTTAGTGTTATTCGCCAATATATTTGTAGTGAGAGTGTACTTCAAGGAAGGAACACCCCCAGGATGGATCGAAAGATTTTGCGACTTCTGCAGTATCAAGAAGGGAAAAAGAGTGAGGAAAATTAATGTATCGCGGCCTGATAGTGGGTCTTCTGTGGCTCCTGGACGTTCCGCGGTAACCGTAAACGGTGTTGAGATGACAGAGCCAAACCACAAGAACTCAACATTGGATGATAGGAAGGACGAGGAACCAGAATACTCGTGGAAAAGAGTGGCCAAAAAAATGGATTACATGTTTCTTTTGCTTTTCCTCATCATTGTGGCTGTGGCATATATTGTCACATTTGTAACACCGATGTAGACCCCAATCAGATCATTTCAGAACTGTTGAAGGGACTAGTGACTAGTAGACCCCATTAAAACTGGGGACGAGTTTATTTTGGCCATCTTGGGTAGCTTGACTCATTCCCAGTCCTATTGGGGCCTTGTAGTCTCTAGTTCCTTCAATTGTCACCATACTCCTTGATGTGCTGAGAATCCAAAGTTGGTGATAGCGTCTACTAATTACTTTGTTCGCAAGTGATCAGAGCGCGTGAAACGTTTACATAAGTAAGTAAGTAAGTAATTTATTTAAACACGCAGACACCTAAAAGTTAACAAAACTCGATAGAAAGTGCATGGGTATGAAAGAAAAAATTAAAAAAAACCTAAGTTAAAAACTTGGACTTAACTAAGATTTCATACTTGTACAAGACAAAACCTAGTATAAATATTCCAAGTCAAAACTTTGAAAGGCCTGTTTAAACATCTTAAGATTTTCGGATTTTCTAATATAGAGTGGAAGTTTATTCCATAGTTTGCTAGTACTGAAAGAAAAGGATTTATGCCTCCACTCATTGCTGAAATGAGGCTGAAACAAGTTGCTTCCCTTACCCCCTAGATTATAACATACATCTCTTATACTCAGAAATTCAGCAATGTAGGGCTTTGGACCTGTAGAGTTAAGACATTTGTAAATTAACACCAAAGCTTGGTAATAACGACGGTGCTTAGAAGTATTCATTCCCACATGACTCGGTAGAATTTCGTAACTTTCATTCTTAGTCCTAAATAAAGTTCCTAAGATACAATAGTTAGCATCATCGAGTCTGTCGCTCCGCACCTTACCAAGATAAATTAGAACTGTATTACCGTATTCTAAATGTGGAACTATAAACGATTTATATAGGAGAATTATAGTGTTCACGGAAATAAAGCGAGATATTCGTTTAAGAGCTGATATCTTGGATTAAATTATTTGTAACTGTGCTGAAATATCATCCTTGTAAAAGATCTTCCAATCCAGCGTTACTCCAAGAATCTTAAAGGAAAGTAAGCTTTACTTCGATCTCCATGCCGTTGATGAAAAGTTAGGTCATACTTGTATGTTGATGAGCCCAGGATAATTTTTTGTGTCTCAGTCTTTTTTTGAAGAGTAAATTTTGATTGAACCAGGTAGACAACGCGGAAAAGTTTTTATTGACCATAAACTGTAGAGCCAAAGACGAAGCATCAGAGTTATGTCCAGTAGTGTCATAGGCATATAGTCTTAGTGTCATGTTCGGGACGCTGTGGTTCATCAAATTGACGTCTAAGAAGAATCTAGTTTACCTGATATAACGTACCACCCAGACCAGTATCGTGAACCTTTTGACTCCCAAGATGTCATTAATAATTCTCTGTACTGTTTGCCATACGATTCTTATGATGTTCGTTCGGAGAATTTGGATCCGGATCAAATAATGATCGCTTCATTGACATTTATCTCTGTTCTCATTACCTATCTGCTTGATATTATGCTGATATTGTAAGGAGAAATTCTATCTTGGTCACTCATTAGCGTTGTAGGGCTAATTAAGACCGCCATGGTATTTTCCCAATTGTTTAGTTGACTGCTTAGGCGCAAACTGTGTGTTTATCTATTTAATTTTTTTAGCGGTAGTTGTTGTGGTAGTACACGACAGATTTACGGTGTATGATTAACCTGAAAATAATATCCCGATTAAGGGATGGTAAATAACTAAAACTGGCGGTAAGATCCATCTAGGTCGTCTGTAATTCCAGCAAAAATCAGAAATGAACGCTCTGCTATGTGATGTGTGTTCTTACTTCGCATCGTCTTTTGAAATATCCAGCCTCGCTCCACGTTTGTTGCGATGCTGGGAATAAAATGATTTTACCATTATTATCAACCAATCGATGACTTGGAGTTACCGACTGAGTTGATAGTGTAACTTTAAACTGGCCACCGTAAAAAGTTTCCAAAGCTAACTTTTCGAGCGTTACCCCTTCATATTTGTTCTGACGAACGGCTACTGGCGCTCGAAACCGAACCTTTTTACGGCAACCAGTTTGCATTATCAACCCAGATTTTAAAGCGAAATTACCTTACAACACAATCACTGACGCAGCACTATAATTTATCGAACAATTTTATCTCCTTCAGCCACTTAATTATTTATATACGAGTAGAATCCTTCAGATTCTTGGTAGGTGCCGCCTACCTCTTTGCATCCAGATTCTTTTTCCGAACAAAACGTGCCCCTTTCCACGGTTTTTTCATCCCAGGCTCTATAGTTTGTACCTGTTTTCAAACCTAGCTTTCAAAAGTTGTGCTTGGTTTGCTAATGTGTCTAATGTGGTTCACTTAACATCAGCATAAGCTTACACAGAGGGAGTGAAACTCCCTTGGGACTGCCTATAAGGATGCGAGGAGGAGACGTCTTGCATTCTTTCTTCGTTTTCCATTGTTTTTTACCTATTTAAAAGAAGGAAAAGTGAAAAAATTAAAATCAGAGAAGATTTTTGCCATTGTTTTTTGTGGTGAATGAAGTTTGAATCTACAGGCATAAATCTTTCACCATTCGAACACGCAATGTTGGTCCCAGTCCACCATGAAATGCTTTCAGTTGTGCGCCGGAATGGCCAGCGGTATATACTGAGGGCGCCAGTTGTCATAGAAACAGTGAAAACTGAAAAAAAGTTAATATGGCGGTTGTGCTGTGCACTTCTGGAGAGGTTGACAGCAATAAACGACGCTAAAATCGGGGAAAAGTCGACAGAGCACCTTTAAAAAAAGAATAAAAAGCCTTTAAAATGGCAAGTGAAGAAGATACTGCAAGTGTAAGACCACCAGAACCGGTTACAATCCTTGTGGTTCGATGCAAAAATCTGGTAGGTGTACGCAACACAGTATGTATTTCTTGACGAAGCTTCATGATCGGTTCATGAAATTATATTTGAATTGAGGAAGTTCTAAGAATCGAGAGATTTTTGTTGGCTGGCATCTTCAGCGAAAATTTAATATGGATATATTGATTTCCTAAGTTTTACGTGTTTGTTGAGATTGTTTCAGGCTTCGGCACGCCACCAAGCTTTGCACAAGTGTCTTACTTAAGAACACATCAGAAAACCCCGTGCAGGGTTTTCGCGACTGGTTCTTCCATTGGGGAGGTTTCATTCGGGTTCTTTCATTCGGGAGTCTCTTACACTGTCCATCAGGACATTGCATCTCGTACAATTTCATAATTTTTTAGCTCGGGAAAAAAAAAAAAACATTGAGAAAAGAAAAATTAATTATTTGGCGGAGAGGGTAAAAAAATTGTTTTCCTAATTGGGAGGGGCATGAGACCCGGCAATACAAACAAGATTGGAAGGTTTGTTGAGAGTCTGATGAGATTTGGAGATCGAATTCCATTGAACAATACTAACTCTCCCTGATGAAAAGGTATCATGGGGGGTTGACACATTGACCCTGAACACTAGTAAAGCCTAAATCATTTGCAGTACTGCTCAGGTAAATGTTCACCGAAAAAATGCACCAAAAATTGCATGTAAGTGCATCTAAAAAAAATATGTGCGTCAAAATTTTGCACATGTCTGCATGGAATTCTTTTATCAAAGTAGCTATTGCCAAGTCCATTGCAGCATTCATCTGGAAACTGTCTCCCTGACACCTACTGTTCTGTATCACCATTAAGATGATGAGCAGAACTATTTTGATTGGTTCTTACTTTTCTTACTTATAAATGGTCTATTGCAGTAAATGGTGTGAACCCGGGGGTAACATGTGAAGGTGTAGTCTGATCGTCAGGGTGAGTGTAGTCCTGAGAAGGACTGTTGTCGCTGGTAGTGACTGACATTTCGACAACCTGTGTGGAAGTCATCATCAGAGTCAAGGTCATCATCAGAGTCACTTGACTCTGATGATGACTTCCGCACAGGTTGTCAAAACGTCAGTCACTACCACCGACAACAGTCCTTCTCAGGACTACACTCACCCGGACGATCAGACTACACATTCAAATGGTCTATTGGATGACAGAGTTACAAAGAACATGTCGCCATTAACATATTAACATCCTTTTTCTTTTTTATCGTGTAACTCAAATGGATTGCATGTTGCAGGGAGTCTGTACAGTAATTATAGATTGTAGAAGATTGCAAAATGTGCTAAGAACATCAGCCACACTCAGCTGTGCCTTAACTTTGCGGGCCAATTGTTTTGTTCTTAAAACACTTTATCCTCATGTGTGATCATGCAATTACTCAGGGCTCAACACTAACTTTTCAACTTACTAGCCATGTGTCTAGTGACATCTTAGATGTTACGACAATTTGAATTTGTTTACTAACCAAACTGGCCAGTGGAAATCAAAATTCACTGGCCAAAACTGAATTTCTACTAGTCTGTGGCTAATGGGCTACCATTAATGTGGAGCCCTGTTACTTAACAGATGCACGGCGACTTGGAATCTATTTGTTGATAATTATACATCAAAAAACTGTTTTCCTTTTTTAATCACTGATTAGAAAGGGTCTAAAGGTGACTCCTTGAATTCTTTGGTGAGGCTTGAGTTTGGAGCTAATCTGCTTGGAGAATCTCCAAAAGTTGAAGCAAACACAGAGACCCACAGCACAGAATACAACTTTCATGCATCATTTGACTGTACATTTGAAGATGCTACTTTCCTGGACTCAATAGCATATAAGCCTGTGATAGGTAGGTGGTGATTTTCTAGACAGTTTGCTTTCCATTATGCTGTGCAGTGTAAATTGTAGTATCGATGACTGTCTTGTTTAAAACTTGAATTTTTTGAGTGGGAGTATCTTCCAGTCTTCTAACTGGAGTGTACGACCCCTCTAAAAATTCGACTTTTACTATTATCCCTGAAAGCTATAAACCCTCTAACTCGTAAGATCTGATTGTTAATTCTCCCCTCTAGCTGCTACACATTTCCTTGTAAAGTAAGTAAGTAAAGTCTGTTTACCAGCCTAGTGGCCCATTAGGCTAGTGCTTAACTCTGGTTTCCATAGCATGAAGCCACCAGGAGCATTACTCTACTCCCCCCTGGATGGAGTGCCAGTCCATCGCAGGGTTACCCCCCAGCATTAAATTTCCCAGTACCCATTTAAACACCTGGGTGAAGAGAGGCACTGTAAGAGTAAAGTGTCTTGCCTAAGAACACAACACAATGTCTCCAGCTGGGGCTTGAACCTGCAGGACCACTCGATCCAGAGTTGAGCACACCAACCATGAGGCCACTGCGCCTCCCACTAAAATTAGCTGGTACTTAATATTTAAAATCCAGCGTGGAGAGAGGCACTGTGTGAGGAAAATTTCTGGCCTGAGAAATACACACGTCTGGTCATAGTTCCAACCCAGACCCAGCCCCCTTAGGCTGGTATTCCAGGTGCTAAATCCAAACACCACACAGA